TTTTTTTTTTTTTTTTTTATTTAAGAGCTGGGGCTGGGAGAGCGGGCAGGGGTCAGGAGGCGCTCAGGGGGTTGGGGGAGCAGGCAGGGGATGGGGCTTGGTGGGGGTCCCCCCATGGTCTCCTTCCCCCTTCTCCAGCTCCCTCCCCAACTTACTGGCACAGAGCCCAGGTCCAGCTCCCTGTGGTGGCAAGCTGGGACTGCTCCAAATCGCCGAATCTCCAAATCTTTCTCCAAATTGATTTGGAGGCTTTGAATTGATTTGGACCTTCTTATTGGTTTCCCGATTCGATTCAGATTCAAAGATTCAGCTGCTGAATTTTCTCCGAATCGAACTGGCACCCAAAGCTTTGCACAGCCCTCGTCCTCAGTACTTGGCTTTGCCCGACTTCAAGTTACAATGGATCATTTGCTCCAAGAAAACTAGCTACTTTTGACTGACTTGTACTTCTGAACACTCAAAAAAAAAAAAAAATTAAATGAGGCTCATTAAGTCATATTCCCATAGTCTGTCCATTTTTACAATAACTATCAAAAATATTCTTTAGAGTTCAACAGGAAATTCTCCCCTCAGATCTCTAATGGTGTGAATGATGACATTTTCCTGAACCTATGGAATGTAAATGGTTTGCAACTGAAAAATATGGCCTTGCATATCTTCATCATTAAAATGTAAGAAAATACCTCCATCTGCGTTAAGTAATATAGAGAGTAAAATTTACCAGTGGAATGAGTAGATGCAATTCCACTGAGGTCTCTGGAATTTTACCTTCTTGCCCAAATACTATATCTGGCCCTGACACTATAAATAGAGAAAAGCAAGCATTAAAATGCTTTACATGTTCAAAAGCATATGCATATGAGCAAATACTAGTTATGAGTCATGATTTTTGCATAAAACCAATTTACAGCCTTCCTAAGTTGAACAGTCCCAGTAAGTCAATGGAATAATTTGAGTGGGTTGGGAAAACAGAGTCCGATCCTTTATCCCACTCCAGGAAGTAAGCACTCTCCATGCTAGCTGAAGTTGAATAGGCAATTCCATAAGTGCCAGTTCTGAGAGAAGGTAATTAAAGGAACATTATTTTAAGACTACACAGACCCCACCTATGAAAAGATCAACCGACTGAAATCCCCTTAATTACCAATAGGCCTCTGAAAACTCCAAGTTAATCTCCATATGAAAAACAGTGCAGAACAGTTCCAAAATAAAAGCCAAAGAACAAAATTATTACATGACTGGCATAAACTCACGTGTTATACATTAAAAATGCAAATTTGTGAACTGATGCACAGCTGAAATAAGGGCCTGCTCCCAGAGGCATGGCATGGCAGTTCCACTTCAGAGAGCTGTGCAACGCCTGGGGCAGTGCTGGTTGCTGTAGTGCCAACCGCAGTGGTACAGGTATTTTGGCATTTCTCCCTCCACAAAGGTGGCACTCAGTTACACCCTCTGAGTTACACTACTGCCAAATCCTACGAAGTATTGATCTCAAATACTTTTCTACTTGAAGATGATAAACTTTGCAGGACAGGAACCATGTTTTTTTATGTCTGCATGACCTCTAGCGTAATGGCCCTTGATCCTGACTGAGATCTTTAAAGACTGCTGCATTACTAGTAACCACCCCGGTACCCACAATGAGAATTAACAATCCTCAGCACCTTCAAGGATCATGCCCCAAATTCCTCTGTTAAGGTGGTCAAAGTGCATCTCTAATAGAGGAGTGACCTGTGGTTACTGTACTTTTATCAGAATAGAACAAGTCACAGAAACAGCAGCTCCTAGCATGCTTTTTCAATCCAGCTGTATGCCTTTACATGCTGGCACTTGTCATCCCTCACCTTTCATTTTAGAGGTGGCTATAATCTGCTCCTTTCGCTGAAGTTTAGACTCAACATACAAAGGTCATGCTAAATCACCAATGCAGTCTTTAGTTAGGCAATCCTTGGGTGCCACAATCCTACATGATAAATGTTCATTCTTCCAGTTGTAAGAACCATTTGCTGCTACCCTAACTCAGAATTGGATATTTACAGGGAAACCACAAGTCTTATGTAAAGGGAAATAGGTTTTAGAGTGAGCATATTTTATTTCCTGATGCAGGAAATATGTTCCTCTGAAGTGCAAGAAAGCTTGAATATGTTCAAAGGTAGCAGGGGCTTTTTAGTTTTTGAGATAATGGTGTTTTCACACACAGTGGTCACTTCTAAAATTTTACCAATTACCTTAAATAAGTAAAAAGCATTACCCTCAGTAGTTATGATACTCTCTCACTATCTCATGTATAAGAAAGTTGCAGTTACTAAGGAAGTGTTACGATTTTACATGAAATGAGCAAAGGAGATATCCAGTTTTACAAAATAACAGTATTTACAAACAACGATTACGAAAAATACTTGCTTGGTCTGAGGCCAGTCTCCAAAGATCTTATTATTAAATGATCACTTTGAAGTTTCAATATGTTTTTTGGATCACTAACAGGTACTCAAAGTACAATAAAGTTATATGTATGCATGCAAATATAAAAGCATACATAATATGGTATATCTTCCTTTAACGAATGTCAATACTTCTGCCCATCATGACATTATAAGATAAAAATAAGGGCAAATCCCAACAGTGTTCAAACTATGGAGCAATTTATAAAAGATAACAGCAAAAAGAATACAATTTTTTCAACCTACCTTGATTTTTCACTTCAGCAAATTCCTTGTTGTATTCTTCTAGCGTTTCCCTAAGTTTCTGGTTTTCTGTTTCAATATCATGCATGCGTTGGACTTTCAGCTGAAGCTGCTGTCCTAAATCCAGAGCTGGAACTGGATCTGAACAATAAAAGGATAAAAACACTGATATACCTTCAGTAGCTCAGAATCTTGAAATCATTTTGTGACACTACAGAAATTCTATTCTTCCTTCCTCGTAATAATGTAAAAAAAAGGCCTGTATGTGTTCTACTTTTCTTACATTCCCCTCCAACACATGAGTTTTAAAAAATACTTATTTTTTTATGTTTAAGCCTTTCAATTATTTTCAAACTGATAGAATGCACCTTTAATATGCTGGTAACAATTTGGCAACACCTTTAAATGAGTTGGGGTATGGTCAGATGTTCACCATATCTGATCTAGGGTCAAGCAGCCTCCTTTCAGCCACATGATCTTAGACTGGGAGTGGCCTGTGCTCACATTCACCAGTGCCAGGAGCCATGCTGGGATCCTGACCTAAGTGACTTGGGCTAGAGGGAGGGCTGGGGGGGCTAGGG